ACAATAAAATGTATCACAAAGAAAGAATTGAATTACTGAAGAAGTGATCTAAACAAGGCCAGAACTTTATTTAAAATATTTACGCTAGCCTTCCTTTCCTGGCTATGACGATGAACTACATCCTGCAGCAAGGCCACTCATCTGGAGATTGGAGGTTTTGAGTAGTGAGGAACCACCTCTTAACTGTTGTTGTACCCAGATTCAACCTGATCCGGGGTGGTAGTACCTACTAGGGCCCCAGCTATGGGTAAATAATGAACTCCCCCAAAATTAAAAAAACATTTTTATAATAAAATGAACAACAATAATTTTTTATAGAAAAATGATAATCGATGCAACACTAAAAAATATAAAAATACATTAATAGTAAAATTGCCAGCAATACATTTTATGATCTACAAAATATATATTTACAAAACATACCTTTACCCTGAAAGTTTAAAATCATATACAAAATATCTGAATTCAATAGTTGAATTCATAAAATTATGTACAAAATATTAAGATTTGGGCATTAAATAACCCATAGCGGTGTTGATATACCACCAAATTAACCGGATTAACAATAACAGTCAAACCATTTCATAAATCTTTTTATAAACTACATTGGGTAGCAAGGCCTCTGATCGGGAGATTGGAGCTTTTGTAAAGCGTAGAACCACAGCTTAATTGCTATTATTCCCAAGGCCACCCGGACCCGGGGTGGTAGCACTTGTTAAGGCCCCACCTAAGGTCAAATAGTGAACCCCGAAATAAAAACAATAAACTATGGAATTATAAAAATACCAGCAATACATTTTTATGTAAAAAAAATGACCAACATAACCTATTTATAGTAAAATGAGCAACAATACCTTTTTAAAGCAATATGTCCAGCAGTACATTTTATAGCAGAATGACCAACAATACATTTTATCTGTAACTGAAGGCATACAATTGCATTCAAAATATATTTAGTTGAAGGCATAAAATTGTCTTCAAAATATTTAGATTTTAGCATTAAATAACCCATAGAGATGTTGATTTGTCGCTAAAGAAAATCAACCAACAAACAAACAACCAATTCCATTTTTATAAAAAACTAGCAGTAGAGCCCGGCGTTGCCCGGGGATGTAACAGTAAGAGATAGATCAAGTATCGACCATCATAAACACTGAAAAATAAAATTGACAAAGATTATTGTTTAAGGTTGACGGACACGCATGTCTTAATTAGTTTTTTTTTTTTTGAATTGGTCAAACCCAAAATCAAACAAAAGTATTATTTTCAATCGTTATAAGTTTACCGATTGAATAGAATTTTATTATAAACAATTGTCTTGTAAATGGAATTTTTAAAGCATTCTGAATGTAAAAATAAAGAAAAAAGTATGCAAGACAATAAGAAACACTACCTGCCAAAAAGAAAGTGAAGTTTTGTTGAAATCGGTTGAAAAATGTAGGAAATCCGATCTCATATATAAACACACACACAAAAAAAAAACCTGGGTTTTTATAATAAGTATAACTCGATATGAGTTGTCCCCCTTTCATTCTTGCAACAGCAATGCCTCTTAATCGTGTTTTCAAATTGATTTCGTGCAAAAACAATTGTGTTTTTCCAATTTTTGGCGCTGTCAGAACCACCGCAAGGTAATTTTACGTAGTCCTGTGAAGTTTTGTTGAAATCGGTTGAAAAATGTAGGAAATCCGATCCAATATATAAACGAACAGACACACACACACACACAGACAACCTGGGTTTTATAATAAGTATAATTACCGATACTTTTTATCATCTACAAAATACATATCTAAAATAACATGTTTACTCTAAAAGTATAAAATTATGTACAAAATATCTGTAGTTGAATCCATAAAATTACGTACAACATATTTACATTTGGGCATTAAATATCCCATATAGGTTTTGATATGCCGCTAAAAAAGCCATCTACATTTTTTGTCCAACAGAATGTATGAAATACAGTGAGGAACGAAAAATACTCACCAAGGATAGCTTATTTACCACAACTACATGGTCAGATGTCAACAGGGTAGTTTATTTATTAGTAAATTTCAACTAATTTTCTTTCTTCTGTCTTCCTCCGTATCTCCCTCACAATCTCTCTCGTTCTCTCTCTCCCTATCTCTCCGCTTGTTCGTTCTCCTTCTCTTACTCTCTCAATCTCTCTCTCTCTCTCTCTCTCCTTTACTCTCCCATTTCTCCCCATATCTCTCTCACTGATACTTCACATCTTACTATTAATTTATTTTTCTCCAACTGTCTTTCTCTTATTCTTTCCATCTCTTCATCTCATACTCTCTTCCTCTCTACCTTTTCTCACCTTATCTATCCATTTCTTTCCTTGTCACCCCTTCTTTTTGCACCCTCTCGCTTGCTTGCTCTACCTCTCCCTTTTTCGCTCTCCGCTTCTCTTCCTATCTTTCTCTATATGCTTCTTCAATACCTCTCTCCCTGTCTCCCCATCTTTCTCCCTCTCAATCTCTTCTCTGCATCTTTTTTCTTTATTCACCCTCTCTCTTTTTCTCTCCCCTTCTCTTACTTCCTGCATCCCTCCTCCCAGCTCATCTCTATACCCCCCCCTCTCTCATCCTTTCTCTTCACCTTTCTCTCCCCTGGCTTATTCTACGCTCTTCTCTCCTTGTCATTCCCTCTCTTTTGCAATTTCACCCTCTCTCTTCCTTCCTGCATCACTTCCTTTTTTGCACTCTACTTCTCTTCCTGTCTTTCTCTATATACTTCTACTACACCTCTCTCCCCGTGTCTACCCATCTTTCTCCCTCTCACTCTCTTCTCCTCATCTCTCTCTTTATTCAATATCTCTCTTTGTATCTCCCCCTCTCTTACTTCCAGTTTCTCTTCCTCCATTCTATGTATATCGCCCTTCTCTCATTATTTCTCTCCACTTCTATCTCTTTCTCTCTCCACCTCTCTCTCTCTCTCACTCTCTCTCTCAGTCTCTTTCCACATTATCTTTCTTCATTCAACCTCTCTCTTTGTATCTCCCCTTCTCTTACTTCCTGTCTATCACCCTCCATTCTCCTTTATATATCTCCCCTTCTCTCGCTATTTCACTCCACCTCTCTCTCTCTCTCTCTCTCTCTCTCTTTCCACATCATCTTTCTTCATTCAACCTCTCTCTTTGTATCTCCCCTTCTCTTACTTCCTGTCTATCACCCTCCATCCTCCTTTTTATATCCCTTCTCTCTCTCTCTCTCTCTCTCTCTCTCTCTCTTCCACATCATCTTTCTTCATTCAACCTCTCTCTTGTATCTCCCTTCTCTTACTTCCTGTCTATCACCTTTATACATCTCCTCTCTCTTCTATCTCTCTCTCTCTCTCTCTCTCTCTCTTTCCACATCATCTTTCTTCATTCAACCTCTCTCTTTGTATCTCCCCTTCTCTTACTTCCTGTCTATCACCCTCCATCCTCCTTTTATATCTCCTTCTCTCTCTCTCTCTCTCTCTCTCTTTCCACATCATCTTTCTTCATTCAACCTCTCTCTTTGTATCTCCCCTTCTCTTACTTCCTGTCTATCACCCTCCATCCTCCTTTATATATCTCCCCTTCTCTCTCTCTCTCTCTCTCTCTCTCTCTCTCTCTTTCCACATCATCTTTCTTCATTCAACCTCTCTCTTTGTATCTCCCCTTCTCTTACTTCCTGTCTATCACCCTACATCCTCCTTTATATATCTCCTTCTCTCTCTCTCTCTCTCTCTCTCTCTCTCTCTCTCTTTCCACATCATCTTTCTTCATTCAACCTCTCTCTTTGTATCTCCCCTTCTCTTACTTCCTGTCTATCACCCTCCATCCTCCTTTATATCCTCCCCTTCTCTCTCTCTCTCTCTCTCTCTCTCTCTCTCTCTCTCTCTCTCTCTTTCTTTACCTATTTTTAACCTTGATCTGTCCGATTTTCCAGAGAATGAATCTCTAGGAATTTTATCACTTATTATCGCCCTAAGAACCAGCTGTCTATCAACAAAGTAATAAAAATACAATATAGATCTCAGAGAAAAGGCGTTCTTAACTGAAACTTGAACCTATCTTCTGATATTTTAGACACATTAGTTAGTCATTATATTAACGGTGACCTTTTTCCTTAGTTCGCAACCGTAACACCTTTTCTCAGATTGCTACATTATACCTCATACGTTCAACTCGATGTCTTAAAACTAATATTCAATACCTGGAGTTCGAAAACGTAAAAAAAAAAAAAAAAAAAAAAAAAAAGGAAAAAAGAACGTATCACTGCCAATAAAATTCCGCCGAAGTTGACAGCATTTCATCACCTACGAGCCTCCGTCATCACTTGAAACGATTTCCTATGAAACCACTACTCACCTGCACTCCCTTGTTCTATCACAATAAATGAGCAAAAAAGATGGGAGTGACACCACCCCAGCAACTTGGCGTTAATCAAAATCGCCTCTGCCTTTTAGGTTATTGATAGTTAGAAGAGGGAAAAAAATAGACTTGGACGCTTTGACAACTCTTGACTTCTTGAAAGTTTTCAGCTGGACAGTTGTCACAGCTGGTCCTTCTAATGACGACGAAAGATAAGATCTTCCTCTCCAATTTCGCTGTGGTAACATCTGTTTGTCTGGCTAAGGCACCTACCCTCTGTTTATCAATACCTACATGCATTCGCACAAACACCAACTCATATATATTTATACATATATATATATAATAACGTCCTTCATTGGGCACGTCAGTTGTTCGTTTCATTTTGCCGCTTCCAGTCGATACTGAAATTCCAAGACCTGTAGGTTCGGGCCACGTAATTTTCCTGATGCAAAAGTCCTCAGTAAAAATTTTTATCACTTTCCATAGATATGAACAGACAAAGATACATTGAGATAGATAGATAGATAGATAGATAGATAGATAGATAGATGTGAAAAATGGATTAGATAGAGTTAAATTTGTAAGAATACGAGATTAAAGCTTTCATATGTAAAAATTTACTGATGGATTTAGTCAATTAATGTCGCCGTTAGAATGTGGGATTTTTGAGACTTTCTTCGAATGGTAATGTTCGATTCTGTTCCTGGTGGCTATGAAGATAGATAGATAGATAGATAGATAGATAGATAGATAGATAGATAGATAGATAGATAGATTTGTTACAGTCTGGTTCTATCCATCTATCTATCTCAGTCTTTTTATACCTACCTACCTATCTATCTATCTATCTATCTATCTATCTATCTATCACAGTCTCGTTTTATCTGTCTAACGAGATAGATAGATAGATAGATAGATAGATAGATAGATAGATAGATAGATAGATAAGGTGTATAGTAGCTATATAAATATCGTATGGTACTCTGTTAATTAGAATCCTAATAATTAGTTATGTAGCTCATCAAGCTGATTATCCGATAAAGTTCGAATCCATTAACCTTTAGAAATTATATGTCCTGCATAAAGGACTCTTTACTGTCCTGCTATTTTTTAAAATCTCTCTTATGGATAAATGCTAAGTCTGTGTTCGGCGGTTTGTACATCTTTGTTCACTTCTCATTGAGTCATTCATCTTTTGTTTGCTTGCATTTATTTCTGATGTTTTTGTTTAACATCTTATATTCTGTGTCATTTTTTGACGCTATCTGCTTCTCTTATGCACTAGAGGCAACATTGCGACAATTTCGTTAGCCTAGACCGATTGGTTCCCCAGAAATATTTGCATGTACCGTGTATTGTTTTGGCGTGAATCACATACTAGATAGATAGATAGATAGACAGACAGACAGATTATCACTTGAAAGTGTTGGAGTCAGGGTATATTAAGTCCTATTAGCCATCTACCTGTAAGCAGCAAGAGTAGTCGGTAGACTTAAAGCAATTGCATTAATCATTTTACCTCAAGCAAGGCAATAATGATCCTAAGACGCAAGGTGGAAGAGAATGAGAAGACTTTTGTGAGGAGAAGGACAATAGAAGAACTGGTTTCTGAAAGACAGAATATGGCGATTTTTGCTGCAATTAAATGCTTGAAGATTGTTGGCAGTAAGAAACTGGAAATGAGTTACACGGTTGAGAACTGCGAGAAAAGAAAATTTTAGAATTGAATATACGATGGCGTCTAGCTAGATCAATAGTAAAACGGTGAGACCTAATTGCCAATCGAGTAGAACGTTTAAATTCATGCGGTCGAGGTACCAAAGAAGAAAGCTTATAAGAACAATTGTCATTTAAATTATTTGTTAGCAACATTCTCGAGAATTTTCCATCTAAGTTACTTTTTTCTTTTAATAAATGTCGCATTCTTTTGTGGATGAATTTGCTTTGTATACATGACATGCATTTGATAATGTGTTGTGCATGAGATCCTTTTTATGTTCATCGATACGTTTTTTTAATACCTTCAAGTTTCCCCAATATATTTTAAGAAACAGTTTTCGAATCTTACCAAAATATAAATCTGCTCCCAGTTTTTTTCCAAATATCTTCTTTTCTTAAAAAAATACTCCTTTCCCAAACCAATGACTATTAAAGAAAATTATAAAGAAAAAACGGTTACATTCAAAGCCTTCTATTATTTTAAATAAAGAACACATAAATTAATCTCAAACTGAAATATTATAAGTGCCATAAATAAGTGCTAAATAAATACCATTTTCCTCAACCATTTGCCTCCGCTTACCGGTTATGTTTACCAGGATATTAAGCGTTATGCCACCTCAAGGCTGTATTTGAACAGCTTATTTAATTTATACAATAATAATAATAATTGTAATAATTATTATTACTGCCATTATGCAATATTACTTAGATCAAACGCAATGAGAAATTAATAAGAAAAAGTTTACTTTTTAGAATGGAATTGCAAACTGATATATCTATCGTCTGCTAAGGGAGATTCATATTTATTGAAATAACATAAAGTATGGAAGCCTCCTTTTTGTGAACATAGTTTCGATTTTTCTATGTAATTTTTTTCAAAATAATAATTAATTTTATTTTATTCAAAATATGTAACGACGACAAACCAGCATGCATCGCTTCATTTATTTACCATAACAACACAATTTTCCAGCCATACAGATTACGTTTTACAATGACACACACGCATCGATCAATTAGTTGCCGACCATCCGAGATATTTGCTTATAAAAAAAAGTTCTAATGTAGTGTCGTGAATTGTATAAATATATGTCGTGTTATGCATATTTAAATTTATTTATTAATGTTATTATAATGTATTATCAATGTTTATTATTTTTAACATGTGTAATAGTTGGAATTTAATATGAAACTTTACATACGCGGATATAAAGAGTATGTATTGAAACAATATAAGAATATATTTTGAAAACAAATACAGAATTTCTTATTAGAAATGCCGTAAAAACAGAAAAACGGCCCAAGCTCAAGAATGAAATTTTGCTACTGCACTTGGCAGATTTAAAAGCATAATATGCTAATAAATTGTTTCGGGCATTATAAATCGTTTAAGCTGTATCTCGATAACTAACATTTTTTTTTTTTTTAAGCGTTTCACCCCAAGCAAGGCGGGAAGCCACTAGGATGCAAGGGGTTACAGGAAATAGCAAGATCAGATAGGAGTGATAGAAGAAAGGATGAGGGTAGTGGATAGATTAAGGCAACTGGAGATGTCGATTGACATTACATTTGAATAGCTGGAGATTATAGCTCACAGGGAAACAGAAGAAGGGAAGGGAGTTCCACAGGTGAGAAGTGCGAGACATGAAGCTATTGGAGTAGAAGAGACGGCTACATTTAGGAGTTTCGACAGTGAAGGGATGAGAGCGGGATGCCAGCCTCGGAGGGCGCTGGAACTCATGACGTCTGGGAACCAGCGAATGCAGCTCCTCTGAGCAATTTCCATGAAAGTATTTGTAGAACAGACAGAGGGAGGCGACGGCGCGTCTGTGAGAAAGTGTCTGTAGACGAGATGCCAGATCAGGGCCAATTATATTGCATATCCGCCTCTGGAGCCTATCAAGAACCCCGAGGCAAACAGAAGGGGCGCCACACCATATATGGCAGCAATACTCCATGCAAGGGCGAATTGTGGATTTGTATATCTGGAGGATACATACATATATACATACATACATACAATATTAGAGTTTTAGCATCATTTTAGCGCCTCCAAAACGAAATTTCTCTCTTTTAATCATCTAAGAGAACCCTTAGTGTTTTCCATCGGTATGGCTGATGCTAACTTTCAGGAGAGTGACCTATTACACCTTCTCTGCCTAGCGTTTTCTGCTGATATGAAGTGGAAAGAGCATATTTAATCAATTGCTAAATCCGTTGCTAGGAAAGTTGATTGTGTCGAGCAAGAAATGTTTTTCTCGCCAGATTCTATCTTACATATTTATACGTCTACCTTTCTTCCTTGTCTGGAATATAGCTGCCACGTCTGGTCTGATGCTACTGCTATAGATTTAGAGATTCTTGATAACATCCGTTGAAGAATCTGCAATGATTTTGGTTCAGACCTGGCATCTCGGCTTCAGTTACTTTCCCACCGACATAACGTGGCTTCCCTGTGACTTTTCTGCAAATACTTTCATGATAATTGTTTCCTCTGTGGTACATAGACCTTATGAATTATAAACGCAGTACTAGATTGGCGGCTTGGTCTCATCATTTTATAATTGAATTGACTAGATGTAACCGTAAGTTCTATGTTGACAGTTTCCTCTTTTATTGTCTTCTCTTATTAATAGCATATTTTTCTCATATCCGCTAACACTCAGCTTGTGGCGAAATGATTATAAAAAAAATTTTAAAAGAACTAATGAAAAAGTTTTACATAATAACGAACGGCACATTCGTTCCTCGATTAAGATATTAAAGCTATAGCAATGCCTTTGAAAGGATTCAGCTAAATATGCAACATGCTTTTCAAAGGCATGCTTAAAGTGTAGTGAATGTAGATTGATGGTTTAATTCCAAGAGAAATGAACAATAGCAGCAGGGCGCGGTCAGAATCTGCGATAATTGAAGGGGACAGAAACGGATTGCACCTAAGGTTAAAATTGTGTCGTCCAGCTGGAGATAAACTGAAACCAATTGAAGGTATTTAATATTCACTATTTAATCGAAACAAAAGACAAATTATGCGGCATCCCAAATGTCACCTGTTGTAAATCTTCCGGAATGACTTTATGTGTAAATGAGAAAAGGTTTTGCTGCAAAGACAGTCAAGAGGGCAATCGACCAATCAGTCAGTCGGTACTAGTCATCCAACTGCCTTGTTAACGTGACCTTACTCTGGCTTTAGTACAGAGTCGAATCAATAAAGGAATGTAGAACTAATGATTCCCTTATTCGCGGTTTCAGTCATCCGCGATCAAGTCCAGAAATAAACAAGGTGCAAGAATAGTGGTATGAAAAACCGTAAAGTGACTGATAATGTCTTATGGAAACCGAAAAATACTCAGCCATTAGACGATCTATATACACACATATATATATATATATATATATATATATATATATATATATATATATATATATATATATATATATATATGTTAGCTCTATCTCTGATATTGAGCGCTTTCTAATAAGTACCGCGCATATAATATATAAATAATAATATATATAATATATTATATATATATATATATATATATATATATATATATATATATATATATATATATATATATATATATGTATGTATTTAATCATTTCACCCCGTGCAATGGAGTAAAACCACGAACACACAAGGGGTTGCTGAGTATGACAGAATTAGAAAACAGAAACATTATTAAGGAGAGAGGACAATAGATGAGTAATCAGGAAGACAGTAGATAACGATTGACACTGCATTTAAATTTTTGAAGATCAAAGTTGGCTGGAAATCATGGAACCGGAAGAGAGTTTTCACAGAGAAAGAAACTGTTAGCAAAGAACTTACGGTTACATCTTGCCAATTTAACTATAAATCGATGAGACTTAGTTGCCAATCTAGTTCTTCACCGAAATTAATAAAGTTTACTCTGTACAATACACAGAAATGTGGCACATGGCCGAAGTGGGGATTAGGGAAAAGACGGTCCTCTTCTGTTTTGACTATAACTTAGCTAGCCGCAAACACTGACCCAATCGTAAAAACAGTATTCCTTACACCAAATCAACACATACATACATACCTTTCTTACTACAATCACCATAATACCTCACTGTCTCTATAAAAATACTAACTAGTCCCCATATTTACAATTCATTGTCTGTGTGGAGAGGGAAATAAAACAACAATTCTAAAAACTAGCCCCAATGAGTATTTACAAATATGAATACAAAACTATTTACAAGAAACTAAAGAAAATAATATTAGTAATAAAAATCCCTACAATCACTAGATGTGGCAGAAACATCCATTCACTGGCCAAAATCAATGCGGGACTATAATAGTATAAAACATTCATTCATCCCAAGCATTCACACTGACATGCACTCATTCAGAGACAACAACAAATACGAAAAAACACTCACGCGAAACGAAAGGCGCCCCGCATCCACCAGCGAACTTACATCACTGACCAACTAACGAGGGAGGGGATGGGGAATTAAACTTAAAGAAAAATAGGGACAGAAATAAAAGGGGCCAATGAGCATACATATCCTAGCTAGGTTAACTGAAAGAAAAGGAAACTAAAGCATCAAAACTGAAACTAATCTAGCCTAGTTTCGAGATGGGTTGCACAAGTTCAACCCAGGAAGAGTAATACCATATCGAAGAGCGATATTTATTCTGTTTTCTACAGAAGTGTGGC